AGAAATAGTTACATAAAAGCACAAAGAAGACAAATTTCACCATTTATAATTACTTAAAAATTCTTTTAAAGATTACTTAAAATTCTTTTAAATACTCTTCCAGCCATTTAAAAATTTTAAAAAGCTTGTTTAATTAAACGAACAATTGCTTCTTAAAATACATTATAGATTCTATACTAAAACTTACAATTGCAGATAATTACAAAGGAAAAAATTTCTTTAATCCAAAATGTTATATGTAACCAAGAAATAGTCATTGTGATTATACAATCTATTAATGTATTATAGTTGGATATATATACAGATGAGTAAGTAGAATATTAAGGCAGAAATGCATTTAGTAAAATAGGATTTTACTCTACATATTATGTTTAATTTTAAAGAAAGTATTAAATTTTATGTTAGCAGGATCTAGTAGAAAATAAAGAGAAAATTAAAATAAATGAATATTTAGAATTAATATTTCTCTAACATAAGACATTATTTCCTAAGTTTTCCCTTTTAAGATTAAGAAAAATGCTATTTTTACAAAGATTTTTAAGTCACTAGACTTTTATTCTTTTAAAAATATGTTTTACTTGTAATAAAGATTGTTTTTCTGGTATGAAAACGTGAAGACTTGAACACTTTCATGTTTCCTTCCTCAATTTCCAAAGTTATTTTCAGATTAATAGTATCAACTGTATTTAAATCAATTTAAGATCATCACTATTAATTTTGTATGCCTGATTTTGATTCAATTTTTAAGTTAAAAGGTGTCATGGATTCTTATTAAAAACATATGAAATAAAATTATATAAAGTGTAGCCTACAGTTCACTTAGTAGAGTGCCCTCATTGAAAATCATCCAGAAATATATTTTTACAAAGGACTTTATTCCAGCAAAGCAATATTATAATGCTAACTCAAAAATAATGTATTAACAGAAACTGAACCAGTTAAAAAAAAATCATCTTGCTCGAACTTGTGCTTAGAAAACAAAAAGTCACAGAGATAATCGCTCTCATCTGACAACAAGAAAAATCCAGATAATGTATAAAATTATAACTTTGTTTGAGGATATCAGAGTGCTGAGGTCACAAGGCAACCACTTAAACTGAACTACAAGAGGGACATGCACCACTAAGGAGAGATGGGACTCATAGACAGTTTCATTTTTGGCAGAGCATAAGAGGAAAAGATGGCAGCCATAAAAGTAAAATAAAAACGCTAAATTTTGAACAAAGTCTTAAGCTCAGTTGGGCTTTCATAGGTCACTCAGAGTCCTAGCTGCAAGGGGAGTCTCCAGGTCTTTTCCACAGGCCTCAAGTGGGAGCTCATTAGAAGGCCTGGGGCAGGGCAGAGCCAGAGAAAGCCCCTTAGCCATGGCGATGTCTAGGCATGAAACCTCAGCATTTCCCAATGCCTTGTCTCACCTGAAGCAAAACCTTTAAGATACTTAGGGAGGGCCAACCAACCCTCCTGCTCCCAGGAATCAGGCAGAGTTTGAGTGCTTTTAGAGAAGCAGTATAAGCAAAAGTTTTCTTCCCTTGGGGGAAGGGTAGGATAAACCTCTCTCTCTCTCTCCTGGTCTACAGAGAACGTACGTGATGCAAAGAGAAAGCTAGAAGCAAAATTTCTTTGTAGCAGAGAAAAGAGGAGGAAACCACCATACCTCCCACCACAAACCTTGCACCAAGCAACACACAGTAACAGTCTACTGCTTGAAGAGGGGCAGAAAACTCCCCCATTACTGATCCTAGACAAAAACATTCTGCTGTTGAAGGAAGGCGAGAAGAAAAAGATGTTCAAACTGAGAGAGGAGCAGGAAACCCTCTGGGGTCAAGGATCCCACAGTGACACAAGGCAGAGATCTGCTATGCCAGCAGAGGAGAAATTCGTTCCTGCCCAAGACTCCCCATAGACACAAGAAGAGCTTGGGTGCTGAGGAGGAGGAAAAGGGAATGCTGAGGAAACCACACTCCTGAGGCCAAGGTACATAAGGCCTTGCCCAAGACTAATAGGCCAAAATAAATTAGAATTTCTGTTTCTCCCAACACTATCGTTATTTTCACATAACAAGCCACAAGAGAGGAGGGGCAAGAGCTTAGAGAGAGAACCCCTTCACACTGCAGCTGTCCTGGGCCTGCTGAAATCAGAACAGAACTCTAAGAAAAACCCTCCCACTCCCCAGACCCTGCACGAAGTGTAAGGTAGCGGCAGTACACCACCGGGAAAATGTGAAGCCTGTGGTGTACTAAAGGTGACCACAGGAACAATGAAACATAAACTAGCTCAACACCCCAACTTTGCAGATTTACAGAAGAGGTATTGCCATGCTGGCCTGACATACAGTGTTTGCCGTTCAATAAAATTCATGTTTCCTTCCTCAATTTCCAAAGTTGTTTTCAGATTAATAGTATCAACTGTATTTAAATCAATTTAAATTAATTTAAATCAAACCCCAACTTTGCAGATTTACGGAACAGGTATTGCCATGCTGGCCTGACATACAGTGTTTGCCATTCAATAAAATTATAAGAGACAAACACACAAAAAGCAAGAAAAGGACCCCCTGCCAAAAGAAATATGAGCTGAAAAAATTCAAGATATGTGTGTTCAAGATGTTGAAATTATCAGTGAGAAACTTAATTTTTTAATATGTCAAAGAAACAGTGGAAATATTAAAAAATGCATGGATACATGCTGAAATTTTTCAGAGATGAAAACTATGTTTTTAAAAAGAGTCAAATGGAAACGCCAAGGATAAAACTATGATATCAGAAATAAAGAATTCCTTCCATGCACTTCTTAGAAAAACTGGACACAGGATAGGGAAAAAAAGTCAAGTGAACTTGAAGATAAACAGAAATTATCCCAACTAAACTACCAAAAATAAAAAAAGAGTTAAAAAATAACATAACAGGTCATCTAAGAGTTTAGAGACAATAAGAATTACAGTTTCACATCTGAAACTGTGCAGATCAGAAGATGACAAAGTGACATTTTTGTTATACTGAAAGAAAATTCTGTCAATTACTGCAACAGAGATAAAGAATATTACATAATGTTGATGAGATCAAAAGCGGTAAGATGACATACAATTCTAAATGTATAATATAACCTAATAACAGATCTGAAGATACACAGAACCAGAACTGTTACTTGTTACTGGTGGAGGGTGTCCAGATTCTTGGCATTTTGAACAAGTAATTGGATGAAATGCACAAACAAAACAATGAAAAAAAAAAAAAGCAGATTTATTGAAACAAACGTACACTCCACAGAGTGGGAACAGGCCAACCAAGCAGCTCAAGAAACTGGTTACAGAATTTTCTGGAGTTTAAATACCCTCTAGAGGTTTCCAATTGGTTACTTGGTTTACACCCTATGTAAATGAAGTAGTGGCCTGTGATCAGTCTGATTGGTTGCATAAGGTGACCAATCGGAGGCTGAAGTAAAGTTACAAGGTTACACATGAAGACTTGGCCTGTAATCAGTCTGATTGGTTTCAGGAGGGAACCAATCAAAGACACTTTCATTTTTCGTCTTCAATGCAGAAAAGGGGTGGGGGATGTTGCATAGGGAGTAGCCCCTGATCCTTTTGTTACTTGGATGTAGAGAAGTGGGGTTTTCCTTTTGATTCAGTTCTAGGAAGTCAGCGTGAATCAATCTTAGGTTCCCTGTCTCCTGACCATATTCTCCTGAATCAAAACTGCCAGGACTGAAAGAAGAAATAGGCAAATCCTCAGTTATAGTCAAACATGTCAACACACTTCTCTCAGTGGTTACTGGAATATTTAGAGAAAAATCAGTAAAGATATAAAAAGTCTGGAAGAGCACTATCAACCAAATTGAAATAACTGGCATATATAGAATACCCTACTCAACAACAGAAAAAAAAATACTCAAGTGCACCTAGAACAGTCACCAGGATAGACCATATTTTGGGACAAAATAGCCCATATGTTTAAAATAATTTAAATTATACATTGCATGTTCTCTGACCACAAATAAATCTAAAAATTCAACAGAAAGATATTTGGAACATTGCCAAATATGCTAAAATTTTAAAATGCACTTATAAATAACACATAGGTTAATTTGCTAATTATAGTCAAAATTAGCAAATATTTTGAATAGAATGAAAATAAACGTGCAACATAGCAAAATTCTGCTACTATTGGAGTACTGCTTGGAGAGAAGTTATAAAATGCTATTTAGAAAAGAGAGGTCTAAAATCAGTTATCCAAGATTCCAACTTCGGAATTTAAAACATAAGGAAAATTAATTCCAAATCCAACAGAAGAAAGGAAATAATAAAGATAAGAGCAGAAATCCATGAAATAGGAAATAGGAAGTCAATAGAGAAAAATAAATCAAAAGCTGATTCTTTTAACATGCCAGCAAAATGGATTATTCCCCAAAACTGTAAGAAGACAGAAATTACCATTATCAAGAATAAAAGTAGGAAAAGTAATACAGATGCTACAGATATTTAAAGGATATATTTTTCTGCTCATTAATTCTATAACATGTAAAGTGTAAAAATTTCTTGAAAGGCACAATTCCACAGTCCACTTACGAGGGAATAGTTAAACCTAACTAGTTCTATATCTATTAAAGTAATTCAATTTGCAGTTAAAAAGCCTTCCCACAAAGAAAACCCACACTTTCATGGTAAATTCTACCAAACATTTAAGGACAATGTAACACCTATTCCACTTAAACTCTTCCAAGAGAAGTTTCTAGATGAAGAAGGAGAATTTCCCAACTCATTTGATGAGACCAGAATTCCTCTAATATAAAAATTAGACAGGCATGTTGGGGAAAGAAAACTGCAGACGAATATCCTCCCTCAATAGAACTAATCTTTTTAAACAAAATATCAGCAAATCAAATTCGGCAATGCTCTCAGGGTGGGTTTTGGCTGGAGGTGAGCATGCGCAGATCCTGCAGTGCCCCCCCCGCCCCGTCCCCGCGCCTGCCGGGCCCAGAGGCAGGATTGAAGTCAGGAGGCGAGCATGCGCAGATCCTGCAGTGCTCCCGAGCGCCACCGCGCCTGCCAGGCCTAGAGGCAGGATTGAAGCCAGGAGGCGGCTGAACAGGACCTGAGGACATTAGCCTCCTCCAACAAGTGGTGGCCTCGGGCAGCAGTCACCTCCATCTCCAGGACACCCCTGGACGTGGTGAAGGTCCGCCTGCGCTCTCAATGCCCTGCTGTGACTGACACCTCGCTCCAGACCCTGGACCTCTCCTAAGCCAAATCGCCCTCCTCCTTCCAAGCCACAGGGCGGGGCCTCCTGTGCGGCAGTGGTGTCCTGGAGCCCCCGCACCTGTCTCCAAATGGTATCCGCTGTGCCATCAGAACCCGCTTCACTGGCACCATGGGTGCCTTTGTGAAGATTGTGAGGCACCAGGACACCTGGGGACAGCCTCCTAGCTACCCTGGTGATGACCCTGCCAGCCACCACCATCTACTTCACTGGCTTACGACAAAACTCCAGGCCGTCCTGTGTGACAGAGCCCTGACCTCTGATCTCTGCGCACCCTTGGTGGCTGGAGCTTGTGGGGACACAGCTGCAGGCTCAGCACGTGGCCTGCCATGAGCTCGGCACCCGTGTCTGCCTGTGGTGGTTCAGGGCGGCTGGCGCTCCCTGTGGCAGGGTTAGGCCCCACTGCCCTTCAAGATGTGCCCTTCTCAACCCTGCACGGGTCCAACTCTGAGCTGGAGAAGAGCTGGTTGAATGCTAAAGGACTAGAGGTTAGCAGACCTCAGCTTTGTGGCTGGTGGAGTCTCAGAGATGGTGACTGTGGTCCTGACACTACCCTTTGACGTGGTGAAGACTCAATGGCAGGCTGCCCTGGGAGTGGTGGAGGCTGTGATAGTGATGTTCCGCCCATCACACTGACTCCATCAGGCGAGTGGGGCACCAGGGGACTCTGCAGACCTCTTCCTGAGGATTTTCTAGGTTGCCCTGTCCTGTGCCATCATAATCAGCCTTTATGGGTTCAGCAAAAGCTGCCTCCAGAGGCTCAACCAGGAATGGCCTCTCGGCCATGGAAAGAGGCGAGGAGAGGCGGACCCCATCTCTTCATAGGTAAGGGAGTGGGGGCAGGAGACTGAGCCAAATACCTTTTCCTCAGCAACGAGGGGAGGGTCCTTGATTCACTTCCCTCCCAACTGCCAGCCTCAGGGCCTTGATTCACTTCCCTCCCAACTGCCAGCCTCAGGGCCATGTCTGCCCCTCTGGGTCACCCAGGCCTTCCGGAGGATCCTCCCTTTCCCACCCCCCAAGTTCAAGACCAAAGCTCTTAGAAAACTATAAATAAAAGATTATTAAAAATGATTAAATTATTTGTATAGATACTTCACCAGAAAAGATATACAGATGTCAAAAAAAAGTATAAAAATTATTGGTTATTAGGAGAATGAAATTAAAATCACAATGACATACTATACAGCCAATCAGACTGGCTAAAATTAAAAAGATGCACAATACCAAGTGCTCTCAAGGATGTAGAACCTGTAAAAACCTTCATACGAATGTGAAGCGGTACAGCCACTTCATAAAACAATTGGCTATTACTTATGAAGTTAAATATATACTTAATATATGACCCAGAAATCACGACTGGGTATTTACCCAGAGAAATGAAAACATGTATCCACACAATCCATATGATGTAAATGTTATGACTTCTTTATTCTTAATTACCAAAAATCATAAGCAACTCAAATATCCACCAACTGGTGAATGAATAGCAATTCAGACAATGGAACAATTCTCAGCTGTTAAAAGGAATGAACTACTGATACTCAAAACATTTTTAAATCTCAAAAGCATTCTAATAAGAGAAATAATTCATAATTGAGCAGTTGTATATCGTATGACTCCATTCATACGAGCTTGCAGAAAGGGCAAACATAGAGAAATTATATTAGTAGTTGCCAGTGGTTGCCAGGGAAACGGGTAGTGTGAGAGGATTATCTACAAAGGGGCATGAGGTAACTTTTTGGGAATGGAAACATTCTATATCTTGATTATGCATGTGGATAGTGACTGTATACATTTGTTAAAATTCATCCAACTGTACTCTTAAGGTGAAAATTAGCATATGTAAATGACAAATCAATAAAATATTTCACCAAATAAATTACACTGTTGAATAAAGTATCACATTTATCCAGCATCAAATCCTTATGGAGTTTCTCTGTTAAGGGCTCAGATGATCCCACTGATCTGGAGAGAAAACCATGACCATATTTTCAAATTTCACTGTCTCCTGTGATTGCAATTTTAGTAATTGAAGAACCATTTTTTTCCTCCTCCTCCTTCTATTCTCAGGGAAAAAGTTAAAAATCTCAGGAAGATTTTGAAAGAGAATCATAACATTATTCCATTTTAGATTTTAGGTTTAAGCATTTTAATTCTTTTCTATCATTCATCAATATCAACAGCAGTCATTGGGTATAACAGTGTAATTTATTCAAATATCTAGAAATTGCTGACTGGAGAATGATAGATAATTTCTAAAGAAGGTCTTTGTCTTTATCTTTATTGGTGTGGTACAGGTGAAATATTATCTGGTAATGTGCTTGAGGTAGATTGAAAACTAGGTAGGATTTTTAAAAAAATGAAATATAACTTTAATATCAATGTAGCTTCATTTTTAATTTTTGAACATCAGAATTTTTCATAACATTAAATTAGGACACATCATAATTAACAGTCAAGTTTAGTTTATATTTAACATATTTTGAGAAAGAGTAGCATTCTAATACTCTATAAAAACATATATACATGTATGTATATACATGTGATATGTGTATATAAATAAATGTAATTTTATTTGTTTGTGTATTTCAGATGAAAGCAGCATCATTTCAAGAACTTGGACTGATACAAATAATAAACACGAAGTCCAGGAGTAGGGTTGGCTGTAAATATGTTGCAGTAAGACTTTCAGGAACCTAAGGCTGTTGCAGTTCCAGGCATCACAGCCTGCACAGAATCTCCAGAGGAGAAAGGGGATCATGTTTTCTTTTGTCTTTTTTCTTTAAAGAAAGAAATGATTTCCTAGAAGTCTGCTGCAGACTTCCTCTGTGTCTCATTGGTAAGAACTGGGCCCCATTCTAATTCCTTAAATCAAGGTGAATTAGATGAATCTGGAAGAGAATGTGGTGGATATTGAAGAATCAATAAATATGGAAACTACAATAACTCAAATCTATTTAGGTATAAGGAAAGACTAATTTTTTTCTAGATGGTTAATTAATTTTCCCAGCTCCATTAATTGAATGATGCTTCATTCTAAGTCCTGATTTGATGACAAATTTATACTTTTTTCAAAACTGCATACATTATTTAACTAATCACAGTATATAGTTATAGACATAGTAGGTATTATGTTTATTTTTTTTTATTTAAATATTTTTTAGAGACAGGATCTCACTCTGTCCCTAAGGCTGGAGTGCACTGGCACAATCACGGCTCACTGCAGACTGAAACTCCTAGGCTCGAGTGACTCTCCTGCCTCAGCCTCCTGAGCGGCCACTACTACAGGCTCACACCACTACACCAGGCTATGTATGCAATTAGTATGCAATACATACTAATTACAAAGTGTAATTAAAAGGATAAGAAAGTTGGATCTGAAAATAAAAATACAAACACCCTTGGCAGTATGATACGTTTTACAGACTGAAAGTCAACTTTACCCCTCTGGGTTTTGTTTTAGTATAATATTAACATAAAATTGTAGACTCAAAAATTAGTCTTGAGATGGTTTAGTTTAACGTCTGGTTACTTACATGAGGAAACTGGAGAAGTCATTTTCTTAAGGCCATACAATTAATTTGTGGCATACCAAGGATTAGAACTGCTTCCTAGATTCAAGTTTAAGGTTCTTTCAGAAAATCTTGAGCTCACTTTGTTTTGTGGAAGATCGAATAGCAAAAAATTATGACTTTTAGATTGCTCACACTTTCCTGAAATAGCTAGCTTTTACTATACACTTCAGGTTTCAGAGTGGACTTTATCACACAGTCTTTAAATACTCATTTGTGGCTTGCGATTGAGAACATATTTATCTCTTTCCTTACACTATTAGTTAGCTTAGGTTTGCTTATTTATAATTATTTCATAAAATAGATATTTTATAAAGCAATAGAGGAGGGAATCAAAAAAATACAAAAATCAAGATTTAAGTACGTTAGTCAACTTAAGCCTCAGTTGTTATTGATCAACTCCTAAATGGTTTGAGTTTTGTTGTAGTCTCAGGAAATTTACTTAACTTATATGTAATTCATAGTTTTTCTTATGATTTCCTATTTTGTTTGCTTCTGTTTTTATTCTTGCTATTGAAGCTACTGGACTTCAGAGTTTCCATGAAACTGCTTATACCCAAGTCATCCCCGCATTTCTGTGAACTATTATAGCCCTTTGATATTTATCAAACTTCTAAGCTTTATTAGAGCTAAGACTGGACTTTGTGCTCTAATATCTCATTTGATTGTGGCTTTGCCATCAATGTCTAACATCTGCACATAGATTCACATTACAAACCCTGTGAAAAACTGTTTTAGAACGACTTTTTTTCACACTAATGGTTTAGAATTTCGAGTCCTTTACTGCTTTGTAAAGCCTAAGAGTATAGGCAAATCAATGACTTAGATCTATTGATATTTCAAAACAAAAGTGGCCTTTCATTATATTTATGTACACTCTTAACATTTAGCAGTAATATCTGACTGCACTAATGAACATGTAATTTTAGTGCTTCTTTGGAGACCTAGAAATAATAAAGTACGTTTTTAACCTGCTTCTAAAATACCCATGCATTTTCCCTAGGTGTTAAAATATAAACAACTATAATTTTTGTCATACAGATTTTAATGACAGTATAGTTTGTGTGTGTGTGTGTGTGTATGTGTGGAAGAGACAGTGAAAGAACAAATATATTGCTTTAGGAAAGAAAATATTTTATTGCTTCAAGTTTGAATACATAAAAAATATTTAAAGTGAATAAAATACGCCAATTGGAGTAATGATTACAAATAATTAACAGTGATTTTATGTTTATGATATTTCAGATCTTTGCATGCATTATTTCAATGCACAAAATCTTCAAAAAAGATGGTATGATTCTCATATTTTAGATAATGGAATTTATTTGTCTGATTATTCCAGGAATTTTACTTATTTGTCTGATTATTCCATAGTGTAGCTGTACCTTATCAATTCTTTAGGTGGTGAGAATTTGGGTTATTTTCAGTTTTGTTGTTATGACTAGTTCTTCATGCAACATTCTTCGACATGTCTTATGTGAAAGACTTCTTCATGTGTCTTTATTGCAAATCGCCCTATGAGTAGAATTGTTGAGTAATACGGTGTGTAAGAATTTAACTATACAGAATAATTTCAGATTATTTTCCTTTTTAAGTTCTTGCATGTGCATTTTACTATAATGCTTTCTTTTTATATACAACTGTTACTCTGTATATTTGAGTAGAAGGGAATAAGCAGTTCTAAGAATTCACAATCTAAACGTAAGAAATTTAATCTAATAATAACAAAGAAAGAAAATGATTACAGGAGATGTCTTAGAATGTACCAAAGGAAAAAACACCATCATCATCATGATCATCATCATCATCATTTTAAGCAATAGCAGCAGCATTGCTAATGCTTATTAAACACTTACTATATTTACCTTTCTAGCATATTTTCTTTTTTTTATTGATACATAGTAGTTGTATGTATTTGGGGAGTACATGTAATAATTTGACACCTTAAAATAATGTGTAATGATCAAGTCAGAATAGTTAAGTGCCATAACCTCAAATTTTTATTTTTCTGTATTCTAAGAACATTCAAATTCTTCTAGCTATTTTGAAATATATAATACAATATTGTTTCCTATAGTCACCCTACAGAGGTACTGAAGACTAGATTTTATTTCTTCTAACTATATTTTTGTGTCCATTAATCAACCTCTGTTTGCCTGACCCCAGTCCGCTTTAATTTCTCTGAGCCTCTGGTGACGGCCAGTCTATTCTCTATCTTTAAGATATCTACTTTTTTAGCTCCCACATATGAGTGAGATCATGGATTATTTGTCTTTCTGTGCCTGGCTTATTTCGCTTTACATAATGTTCTCCAGTTGCATCCGAGTTGCTGCAAATGACATGATTTCATCACTTTTTATGGCTGAATAGTATTTCATTGTGTGTATTATATACCACATTTTGCTTATACATTCATCCATTGATGGACTTAGGTTGATTCCATATTGTATTTTCAACAGTGCTGCAATAGACATGGGAGTGCAGACATCCCTTTGATATATGCCTTTCTTTCTCTTGGATACATACTCAGTAGTGAAACTGCTGGATCATATGGTAGTTCTATTTTTACTTTTTTTGAGTAATCTCCATACTGTTTTTCATAATGGCTATCTTAATTCCACCAATAGTGTACTGTGGTTCCCCTTTCTCTGCATTCTCACCAGTATCTGTTTCTTTTTTAAATCCTTTTCATAAAGCCATTTTAACTGGGGTGAGATGATATTTCACTGTGGTTTCAATTTGCATTTCCCTGATGATTAGTGATATTGAGTATTTCATTGACCATTGTACGTCTTCTTTTGAGAAATGTCTATCCAGATCATTTGTCCATTAAAAAAACCATGTTGTTTTCTTTTTTGTCCCTGACTTATTTAATTTTCTTATATACTGTCGTTATTAATTCCTTATCAGATGGATAGTTTGCAAACATTTTCTCTCATTCTGTAGGTTGTCTCTTCACTTTGTTGATTGTTTCCTTTGCTGTGCGGCAACTTTATACCTTGATATAATCCCGTTTGTCTATTTTTGCTTTCGTTGCCTGTGCTTTTGAGGTCTCACCCCAAAAAATCTTTGCCCAGAACAATGTTCTTAAGAATTTCTCCAGTGTTTTCTTCTGGTAGTTTCATAGTTTCAAGTCCTGCAGTTAAGTCTCTAATCCCTTTGGATTTGGTTTTGTATTTGGGGAGACATAAAGGTCTAGCTGCATTCTTCTGAATGTGCATATCCAGTTTTCTCACCACTGTTTGTTGAAGAGATTGTCCTTTCTTCAATGTATGTTCTTGGTATCTTTGTTGAAAATGAGTTGGCTCTTAATTCGTGGATTGACTTTGGGATTCTTTACACTGTTTCATTAGTCTGTGTGTCTGTTTTTATACTAGCACCATGTCTTGGTTACTATGGCTTTGTATCATATTATGAAGTCAGGTAGTGTGCTTTGATAAATGGACAGACCCTGCAATACCGAAATATATGTTTTTGATATTTCATTTATCAGCAGACAAGAGACTGAATTATTTTTGAGATTCTTTACCTCTCACTTGACACAAGTTGCATACTTTTCATCCCTTATGCACATTGAGTATTAAGGAACTATCTTGTATGTTTTATCTTCATGCAGAGTATCATAAAGTTACTTTCAGCAAGTCAGACTTGAATTGGCGTATCTTTTAAGGAAGAGGATAATGAACGAAAGTGGGAGAATGGCTCTTCTTCTCCTGGCCCGTAAGTTTCTAGTATATAATACAATTCCTTATTCCTTTCTCAATGTTTCAGTGTGTTTTGCTTAAATTTTATAAGTAATAAAGGCAATTAGCTATTTTATAATTTGTGTAAATATGCCTCTGTTATTAGATGATTTGATTATAATTTTTACAATAAACACAATATGGGGAAGAACATCGTTATATATGAATTTTGGAACATCTCTGATATTTTTATTGGGAAGAAGTACAGAATTATTATTGTTTGGCCAAAGAGTTTGTACCTTTTTTGTGGTTTTAAGTAAAATTGTTAGATTGCTCTATAGAACACTGCATTAGACAACTATGGCAAGCTGTTTTATCACTCTTTGCCAATGTTAGATAACGTTTGATAATTTGGATAGCTGATTATTTTTACTTTGTTCTTTTCAGTTATTTTCTTTTGATGTTTACTGAGGCTGTTATTCCTATAACCTATATAAAAATCTTTTGCCCATTTGATTGTATTTTATTGCTTAGTATGAATTTCTTATATATTAAGCTTATAAATTCTTCCTTGGACATCTTGCCTTTTTTTTTTTTTCTTTAGCAACTTGCCTTTAAAGTTCATTTGCTTTTATTGAGTGAACAAATGTTTGACATTTAAGTGGACTGAAATTATCTTTATTCATTTGAAATTTATTTTAGGATGAGATGGAAAAAGTTAAAGCACATACATGTGTATACATACATAGGCAGAATTATTTCTTTCTATATATATTTCAATTCAGCATTCACCTGCCAGAATACTGTTTAGATGATTCACTATTCTTTCATCACTGATTTTAATGTTATATTTATCATACAGTAAAAAATTAATATTTAAATAATTTGTGATTTAATAGGCAATTTAAATATTTCATAATCTACGCAAATATTTTTATCTGCAAACATATTTGGATATTTTCCTGGAATTGCTCATACTATTGCATCAAACTGTGAGTCTACTCTTGCTTTTATGATAATCATTTTAATTTTGTAATGTTGTTATTTGATTGTTCTTTTATACTTCAAACCTTGTACAATGTTTGGCACATAGAGCACTCAATAAATATGCTGAATTAATTAATAAGAAATGTATACAAATATGTTGGCAATATATTTTTTCTTTTCTTTTTTTTCTGAGATGGAGTTTTGCTCTGGTTGCCCAGGCTGGAGTGCAGTGGTGTGATCTCGGCACACTGCAACCTATGCCTCCCTCCCATGTTCAAGCGATTCTCCTGCCTCGGCCTCCTGAGTAGTTGGAACTACAGGTGCCCAACACCATGCCCAGCTATTTTTTTTATTTTTAGTAGAGTTGGGATTTCACCATGTTAGCCAGGCTGGTCTCAAACTCCTGATCTCAGGTAATCTGCCCGCCTCGGCCTCTCAAAGTGCTAAGATTATAGGCGTGAGCCACTGCGCCCGGCCTGCAATATATTTTTTCTAACACAGTTCAGACTTTTTAATTCCTTTGACATTTCGAAAAGGAATATATTATGTGTTTAATAATTGAGCAGATAAACCTTTGCTGATCCAGCTAAACTGTCTTAATTTTGTGGTTAATAAAACTGTAAAATACTTATTTTATTACATTACTCAGAAGGAAAACAATAAGGATTTTATGTGCCCATAAAATCTATGTGTGACTTTCATGCCTTAAATATAAATTTATTCATAATTAATTAATTAATTAATTAACATACTTCTCTTGGATGTATGCATGCATGATCAAAATTTTTTGGAAATTAATGGTGATAAGTGATATTTATCTGATTAAGGTTTTTTATTGCTGTCAAAATGAACCGTAAATATATATAACTACTAATATGGTGGTTCTTATTCAAATGATGTTTCAAGTAATGTGGGAAAGGACCATTTATTTCATGAAAATTGGTTGTGCAATTTGGATAGTTATGGAGGCACAGTATACATTCCTCTTATACTATATACCAAATATACTAGAAAGCATAAAAATTGCATGAGAATTAGAAACTGTAAAAATTTTTGAATAAAATATAATAACTGAAGTCATGATCTGAAAGTCTTTTTAAAGCTAAAATTATAGTAAATATTTTTCAAATTTGGGTGGTTTAAAATTAAAAATCGAACTCTGGCAAAAACTGATGATTTTTCAGAAGAAAGGTAAGATTGTTGGAAATATATTCGCAAGCTACCTGACAGACAGTAAGAAAATACTCTTAATATTTACGTGTGTCATATACCTCAGTTAAAAAAAGGAAGACCTCAAGGTGGTATATAGATAGAGTGCTAGAAAAATATTGTGGAGGAATAGGCAGAATTAAAGAATAATATTCTAACAATGTTAAGAATCTTGATAAAAATCTCACAGTAAAGCAATAGTTAATGTTTCTTTAAACATTTAACAGGACAATATAACAATAGATATAGAGAAATAATAGAGCACTAAGTAGCAGACAGGCTGCCCACTGCCAGAATGCCACTTTCTAAAAGACAATTCATTTGCTCTTCAACACTCAACATAAAATGCAGAAACAAAGAAGATAAGTATTGTATTCGTATTACCCTCACATAAATATTAGATTTTTTGAAGGAGGTCAGATTTTATCTGACCATTCTCATGTGCTTTAACATATAAGAGATTTTAACAACATTTCCAAGAATTTATATACACATATGTACACACAACTTTTTATACTTAAATCCTGTATTTGAAGAATTTTTTTTGAGTCTATTGTTTCATAACTTTAAAAAGCAGAAAAATTTTAATTTGCTCTACACTAACAAAAGAAAAATTTTGATTATTCACATTTATTCCCTTAAGCTAATAAGGGAATATATTTTAATGTTATATATGGAGATTAATATTATTTTAGGTCAGCAGTAGAACCCAGGGATGTATAATCACAATGCCATCCTCAGGGCTGGTAAAAAGTTTGAATTACTTTATCAGAAGAACATGACAGAAAGTATATTTTCAATTAGTTACAGGTAAATACTTAAAAAAATAATGGACCATTGTAATCTATTTATAGGAAAATGGATCTTGAATATACAGCCTGCTATTACATTTCTAAGAAGACACAAAACCAGCAACACACAGAATAATTCTACACTAAATATTTTTCTTCTTTAAATTAAGAAGATTAATTGTTGTTATATTTATTTTTTGTTCAAAACAAATAGCTATGTTGTGATTTGTATTATAATTTGCATTTCTTCAAATTATGTTTGAGTGATGACCATTAATAGATGCTATATTGGAGATTTATTACAATAGCTTTATTGTGGTATAGTTTATGTACAAAAAAACTGCAAATTTTTAATATATACAATTTGATGAGTTCGGACATATGCATACATTCGTAATACCATCACCCAATGAAAATAGTAGGCATGTTTATCATCTATGAAGGTTTTCTTGAGGACCTTTATTTTGGGAGCAGAGGGCAAGTAAGACACTTGACATGAGATCTACCCTCCTAACAGATTTTAAAGTGATCAGTGTATTGTTGCTAACTATAGGTACTATGTTGTACAGCATATCTCTAGAACTTATTCATCTTTCATAACTGAAACTTAACCAATTGAAAATGAGTCCCTGGTAACCACCATTCTCTGTTCCTATGAATTTGACTACTTTAGATAACTCATGTAAGTATAATCATAAAGCATTTATTCTTCTGTGACTGGCTTATCTCATTTAGCTTAAGGTCCTCAAGGGTCATTCATGTTGTCATGAATGGCAGAATATTCTTTCTTTAAGGCTGAAGAATATTCTATCATATGTACATACTACATTTTCTTTATCCATTCATCTGTCAATGTACATTTAGGTTGTTTACATATTCTGGTTATTCTTAATAATCCTACTATTGATGTGGGAGTGCAGATATCTCTTCAAGATACTAATTTTAATTCTTTTGGATATACTGTATACCTAGAAGTGATATTATTGGGTAACATGGGTAGTTTTACTCTTAAATTTTGAGGAAGCTCTATACAGCTTTTTCATAGTGCATTCTTATCAACAATGTGCTAGGGTTCCAATTTCTTCACATTCTCACCAACATATATATAGATATATATATGATATGTATATGGATATATATGATATATATGGATATATATGGATATATTCATTTTAAGGAAGAGGGTAATAAATGAAAGTGAGAGGATGGCTCTTCTCCTCCTTCTGGATATATATGTAAAATGACCATCCTAACAGGTGTTAGGTAGCATCTTAGAACATTTCCCTAATGATTAGTGATGTTGAGCATTTTTTTTGTACACCCACTGGCCACATGCACATCTTTTGTGGAGAAATGTCTATTCAAGTCCTTCATCCATTTTTAAAAATTGGGCTATTTTTTGTTTTTGGTATTAAGTTGTAGAGGTTCATTATATATTCTCGACATTATTACCTTAACAGATGCGTTATTTGCAAATATTTTCTCGAATCTATAGGTTGCCTTTCACTCTGCCATTTCCTTTGCCATGCAGAAGATTTTTAGTTTGATGTAGTCCCACTTTATATAATTTTGCTTTGGTAGTTATGCTTTTATGAATATTTAATGTTGTTAAAATATGCATACTATCCAAATACATCTATAGATTCAAAGCAATTCTGTTCAAAATCACAATTGCATTTTTTACAACAATAGAAAAATATTCCTAAAACTCATATGGAACCACAAAAGACACTGAATAGCCAAAGCAATCTCCAGGAAGAAGAACAAGGTTAAAGGCATCATACAACCTGATTTCAAAAATATTACAAAGCTACCGTAGTTAAAACAGTATGGTACTGGCATAACAGACATACAGATCAAGGAATCTTTGAGAAATGTAAATCAAAACCACAATGAAATACCGTCTCTCACCAGTCACAATGGTGATTCAAATTTGACATTTTGATTAAAATGTCAAAGAATAAGAGATGCTGGTGAGGTTGCTAAGAAAGGGGACACTGATACACTGCTGGTGGAAATGTAAATTAGTTTGGAATTTACACTGTGGAAACCAGTTTGGAGATTTCTCAAAGAACT